ATATATATATATATCCATTTCTTCAAAATTGTCCAATTTGTGGGCATATATAGTTGTTCATAGCAGTTTATAATCCTTAGCATTCCTATGGTATCAGTAGTAGTGTCTCCTCCTTCATTTATGATTTTATTTATTTAAATCCTCTTTCCTTTTTTTCTTGGTTAGTCTAGCTAAAGGTTTGTCAATTTTGTTTCTCTTTTCAAAAAGCCAACTCTTAGTTTTGTTGATCTTTTCAGTTGTATATTTAGTCTCTATTTAATTTATTTCTGCTGTAATATTTATGTTTTTCTTTCTTGTGGTAACTTCGGTCTTAATTTGTTCTTTTTTTTTCTTTTTACTTGAGGTGTAAAGTTAGGATTTTTATTTGAGATCTTTTTGGATGTTGGCATTATCAGCTTATCTCTTAGAACATTTTTGCTGCATATCATAAGTTTCAGTACACTGTGTTTCAAGTTCTATTTTTTTCAAGATAGTTTTGATTTTTTTTGAACCATTAGTTTTTTCAAGAGTGTGTTATTTTATTTTCACATATTCATGAATTTTCTCATTTTCCTTCTGTTATTGATTTCTAGTCTTATATCATTGTGCTGAGAAAAGATACTTGGTAAGATTTTGACCTTATAAGATTTTTTAAATATTTGTTTTGTGATTTAAGTTGTAATCTATGCTGGAGGATGTTCTGTGTATATCTGAGAAGAATGTGTATTCTGCTGCTGATGGGTGGAAATTTCTGTATGTGTTTGTTAGATCCACTTGCTCTATAGTGTTGTTTAAGACTATTTTACGAAGTTGATTTTATGTATGGATGTTCTATTCACTATTGTAAACGAGGTATTGAAGTCCTTTACTATTATTACACTGTTGCAGTTACTCACTTTGGATTTGTCAATATTTGTCTATGTCCATACCACCCTGAATGAGCCTGATCTTGTCAGATTTGTCAGTCTTAATTTTATATACTTAAGTGTTCTGATGTTGGTGGTGTACCTATTTATAATTGTTGTGTCTCTCTGTGGAATTAACCCTTTAATCATCATATAATGATCTGGTATTGCTAGAGACATTTTTTGACTTGCAGTCAGTTTTGGCTGATATAAGTTTAGCTGCCCCTGCTTTCTTTTGGTTCCCATTTGAATCAAGTATCTTTTTGATCTTATTATTAGGCTCTCCTACCTGTAGTTTGTGAGATGACTGGCTGTGTCTGAAACCTAGTGTGAATAAGGAGGGGCAGATGTGTGGAGGTTGGAGGTACTCTAGATAACCTTAGAGGACCAGTCCTGGGGACTGCTCCAGAACTCTTCCTTTTCTCTCCTGGTATTGGTTCTGGCTTTCTTCTTCAACCCTCTTTTTTTTAGACTTTTTGCTCCTCACTTGTTCAGAAAGTATTGATTGTTCTTCAGAGCTCTGAGGAGAACCTAAAAGAGACACTTTACAGTTTCTGCCCTCAAGGAGTTCACAGCCTGGACTGTTGTCAAAGAAATGAGAGCAGAACGTATAGGCTTGACTGATGAGGAGTGTGGATGGAAGGGCAGCTGGTGTGCTGCCCAGGCCCTGCCTGTGAGGCTGTGCCTGGGAAGTTGGTCATGCATTCTGTGCTTCCTAAGCCATTTGGGACACAGGAAAGAAACATTATATTTTTCAGCAAACAAATAAGAAGAGGGCCTTTATATATTCCTTTAAAGCACCTTTTAAGAGTTTTTTTTATTGATTTTACCATTTTTGGCCCATCTACCATTTGCATTATTCCTGATAATTGAAAAGTTTTTTATCTTTAGCATAGAAATGTAGGGATGTTCATAATTAGCTAAGGCAATTAAACTCATCTTATTATAAGATCATTTAGTTTAAAAGGTTTTATCTCCCAGGTGTAAGGCTGATCATTTTCCTTTTTTCTTTTTATGATTCTGGGGATTAAACCCAGGGTCTTACTCATGCTAAGTACTTGTTCTTCCAGTGAGCTACAACCTCAGCCCTGATCATCACTTTTTTTCCTTAATAACAAGAATAGAAGATATCTCCTCTTATATGGTGTGGGCTCCTAGCTAGCTGAAGGGATGGGTTTCTGAGTAAGGAATAGTTGTATTCACATGTCTCAAAACATGTACTTTAGATGGCAGGGATGTTTGTGTGTGGGTTGCCTAGCATGTGTATTAAGGGACTATCTGCTTCACAGAGGAGAAAGGAGCTGATGGTGGCAGTGGCCCAGGTGAGAGTGGTGAGAGTTCACGGTATCATTGGAGCTGCAACCAGCTTCCTAGCTCTCCTGAGAACTGTGGGGGATAAGTACTATGGCTGTGGTTTCTTGCTTTCATTTTTGCTCATCCATATGGTTAACTATCAGGGCCAAATTCCACCGATATCCATTGATTTTTCTCCAGAGCCAACAGCTCCTTTAGGTATCCAGTATAGTTTCCTGATTTTACAAATGAACAAGTGATTCTCCCCCTAGGAGAGAGGAGGTACCCTGGAGTAGGAAAAATTTGGGTTTAATCTTGACTCTGAATCTTCTTGGCTTTGTGATATGGAGAACATTACTCAACATTGCTAGACTGTTTCTTCATCTGTAAAACAGAGTAATGATGGCTTCTACTTCCTGGGGCCATTTTGAAAAATACATTAGATTATGTCCATAAAGTATTTAGTTACTTCCAGGTACACAGTAGGTGCCCAATAAAAGTCAGTTATTTCTGTTGCTAATATAGCTATCCAGTGACTAACAGTCAGATCTCTTAAAGTCTTTTTTCCTTCCTAAAAACTTAATCAAAAGCTTAAATTGGAAGATAGGAATATGTCTCAGATTGAGACTGCAGAGTAGATTCCACCTCCACTCTGCTCTACCTCCATAGTGCCTTTACTTTCTTAGTCCATTTTCTGTCGCTCTAACAGCATACATGGGACTAGATAATTTATAAAGAATAGAGGTTTATTTAGCTTTATGGTTATGGAGGCTGGGAAATCCAAGAGCATGGTCCTGCCATCTGGTGAGAACCTTCTTGCTGCATCATGACATGGAGGAGGACATCACATGCTAGTCCATGTCTCTCTTCCTCATCTTATAAAAACCACTAATACCATCCTAAAGGTCCTACCCTTGTGGCCTCATCTAACCCTAATTACCTTCCAAAGGCTCCACCTCCAAATATCAGCATATGGATCTGAGGGTCGGTTTCTAACACATGAACTTTTTGGGGAACACAGCCAAATCACAACACCTCCTTTCTTCAACGAAGCATATTTGCAAATCTGTCACCACTTGTTTAACACATGAAGCATTAATGGAATGCAGAAAAAAAAAAATAAAAACGAAAGACATCTCCAAGCTGGAACTGTCTTTGCCTTGTTCTTTATAGCGGGTAGAAAGGAGCCCTCAGTGTGAGGAGGGAAAACCTGGCTCTGACTCTTTGCTTAGTCACACTCTAGCTTAACTTCAGCTTTCGTCTTCAAGCTATAAAGCTGAGAGTGAATTCCTGTTATACCTATTTCCTATGGCCTCTCTCAAATATGAAGTATTGTTAAAATGAGTAAGTAAACTGAAATGGAAAAGCAGGACACAAATGGAAGGAATTAATATAATTTGGTAGCTATTTACTGGATTTTAGACACTCAAATACATCAACTCTTAAAAACCTAAACTGTGGGGAAAAAAAAACCTGGCATAAAATTAACTGAAACCTAACTTTAAATCTAGTGGTACAAATTATAGATGAAACAATTTTATCAGAATTTAAATTTCAGGTAATTACGAATAAGAAAGGTTCTATGAGGTAGAAGCCATAAAATAAGGGAATGAAAACCACTTTAGGGTATTAAGAAATGAATATGTCTGTTAGTGTTTAATTTTCAACCCAGTCTTGCCACATTCTTTTTATAGTTTTAACAGTTTTATTGAGAAGTAATTTAATTCCATAATTTTACCATTCGTAAGTGTGCAATTAAATTATTTTTACTAAATTTAAGGAGTTCTGCAACCATCAACACAATCCAGTTTTAGAACATTCCGTCACCTCATAAGGATACAGAGGGCCTATTTTAAGACAACACTTTTTGTTACCTCCAGCCTTAGGCAACTCTGATCTTTTTGTGTTTCCTTAAATTTACCTTTTTTGGATAGTTCAGATAAGTGGGATACAATATAGTGTCCTTTGTGTCTGTCTCCTTTCATTTAGTTCAATGTTTTTTAATTTATTCATTACACATTCCATATTCCATGTTGCATCTCTTCCATGTTGTGGCCTATATTGCATTTCATTAGTCTATTCATTGTGGATGAACTTTAGGAATGTTTCCAGTTTGACTCAGAACATTCATGCTCTATGGGGACACATGTGTTCATTTCTGTTGGGTAGATTCCCCAGTAGAATTGTTGAGTGAAAGGGTAAGTTTACATTGAATTTTTTAATAATCCGCCAAGCTGTTTTACCACAGTGGCTGCACCATGTTACATTTGTATCAGCAACATATGAGAGCTCCAGTTTCTCTACATCTTTATCTTTCCTTCATATTTTATTTTAGAAATTCCATGTCCATTTAAATCATAATTAAATCAAAAAGATTCTTTTGTGAGTCAGTGATAGCACTGAAGTCTCAATTAGACTGAGTGCTTCATATTTGGGGTTTAAAAACAGCCTCAGTAATTGGGAAGAATTGATTTACGTTGTTGAACTAATAGTTCAGTTGCTTGGGGAGTAGATGGTAAATAATTAATGACAGTTCACTGCAGGCTTCCTTGTAGAATGTACTTTATCCAACTTGCTACTGTTTTATCAGGGTCATCTAATTATTCAGGAAATAAAAATAACTTTCAGTAGAAGGCAGAGTGTGGTGGTTGTGCGTCTGTTGGGTTGTCTAGACCCTCCAATATTGAGACCCTTGGCTTATTTATCATTTTAATAGATAGGGTATCTAATGCAGATACAGACAGCTACTCATGTCAACACAGGCTTTTGTGTGTGTTAAATCCCTTGTGGACTGGAATGAAATAATTTCTTGTTTCTTTCCAGATCGTCCACAGAACTCTGGCAGCCATGTTGGGGGCCCTTGCAGCATTAGCAGCACTGGCTGTGATTGGCGATGTAAGTTGTGACGTTCTGAATCTCTGACTTACCGCTGGAGACAATGTCAGACTCAGAGACACTCCAGGATTTGGTGTTATAGATTCTTTTATATGCTACTTCCACATTTCCCCCCAAGGACCACGCTAGAGGTTTGAACCAACAAACTTCAGCATTGATGAATATTTTTCATTTGATTTTTCTCATTCACACATTCAGGTAGTTTTGGTCCTCATTTTGGCTGAAGAAAGGCTCATCCTGCTCATGTGTTTACCCAGGGTTGTTTGGTTGTGGGATATTAGAGTTAGCAGTGGTGTTGTCAGCTCTTGAGAACTAGACTAGCAGTGGGAGTAGAGAGGTCCTGGGGTTAGGGTTCTGTCCAGGAGGCCCCTGGAGATGCATGTATGGGGCTGATGGTGTCCTGCCAGGGCTGGAGCATGTCCTATCAGGCAGCCACATTGGGAATACACCTAGGGAAGTAAGAGAGGTGAGTGCCTACTGGAAATGGAAGTCCAGAGTTGTTTGACAGTAATGCTGAAACCAAATTAGGAACCCACTCAAAGGTGGAAACACAAGACTGGATTTGAAAACAACTCTATGCAATTACATGGATTGTTCTGAAATTGCTAGTAGAGGCCATTCAATCAACCCAAGAATAACAACTAGTTTAAAAAAACTGTGTGTGTGTGTGTGTTGCTGAATTAGTAATTTATTATGCTTTTTTTAAAATCTGGAATTTGAATGTAGGCCCACCCTAAAAGCAGTAGTAAAAACTTGAACTTTTTTCTTGACCAGAGTTGGTATAAACAAATGCTAACTCTAAAGATAAAATGTCCCAGAATTCTAAAACCTAGACATAAAAATCCTTCAATGTGTTCCTGCAACGAACGCTTCAACCTAGAAGAACGAAATTTGGGAGACCACGTACAAATGGAGGACTCATCAATCCTGCCAAGTATCAACAAGATCGGGTGAAAAAATAATTGCTGAGATTCCAGTAAACTCGGAATTCTGTGGAATCATTGCAAGCGCTTTCAAATGAAAGTGTATTTTCCTTGCCTTTGGTTAGGGCTACTTCAACAGGGAATAAAGCCTGGTACATGGTAGACACACACTGTGGGAAGCCACTGGGTCATTCTCTTTCCCAAGCCAGATACTGGCAGTACCCTTACTTACACTCTATGCTCCCTATCCCTGTGACCCACGAGAGTGGGAGGGCACATGAGAGTAGGAGACATGATTGTCCACGTCGTCATCATCTGGCTTCATGCCATTACACTGAGGAAGACACATGTGGACTCCAAGAAGTACCTATTACTAAGCTTTGCATTTAAAAATCGATTTAAAAGAAAAAAGCTTTATTGTGGCTTACTGTTTTTGAGGTGTCAGTCTATGTTGGTTGGCCCATTTGCTTTTGGGTCTGTGGTAAAGCAGTATGTCATGGCAGGAGCACATAGAAGAGGAGCTATTTACCTCATGGCAGATGAGAAGCAAAGAGAGAGAGGAAAAGACTGGCATCCCCAAATCTCCTTCTAGGACACTCCCCTAATGAATTAAGACCTCCCACCAGGCCCCACATTTGAAAGGTTCCTCCACTACCCAATCGTGCTAGAAGCTGAGATCTAAGCCTTTAATACATGAGCCTTAGGGACACATTTATGATCCAAATGATAGCAGTAACTTCAAGGACCAACCCTGCAGTTCAGGCAATAGTTCTTCTTAGAGTTTTCAGGGACAACGTTAAAAATTTTTAAATTACTTTAATGCATAAGTTTGATGTTACAGATGCACTGGGTCATGAATGTTTTTCAGAAGTGATATAATCCAATTTCAAAGGCAAGTAGATGTTGTGTTTCCAACTTTGGTCCAATGAGTGGATTTGTAGTAAAGGGCAGCACATTTTTAGAGCTTATCCCCAGGAGGGAGACGCACAGGATTAATTGGCAAATTTGTGCTTTGATTGCAGAGACCCAGCCTGACCCACGTGGTGGAGTGGATTGATTTTGAGACCCTGGCCCTGCTGTTTGGCATGGTAATTATAGTCCTCCCAGCAGGACATGCCTCCAAGCCTGCTAAAACCTGGGTCCTTCTTTTTTGCTGCTAATCCTATCATTATATTAAAGACACCATGTCTCTTGACAATTAGGGCTTGATTGAGAAGTGTTAATGCAGGTCTAGCTAATTTCTCCTGAGGAGGAATAGAACGATTGGTACTCTGGTTAGTTAGATGGAGAGTTTCAGTCTAAGTCCTATGGAATGATGAAATAACATTTCCATTAGAAAAGTTAGCAAGTTTTTGGAGGTTCTACCCTTAAAGAAAAAAAATGGAATATCTTAAATAAATGAACCAGTGGTTAACATTAAATAATGTTTTGGTTATTTGAAAAGTACATTTAATTACATAAGAAAAGGAAGACTTTGTCCCTGAGGAATCATTGGGGCATTTGCTAATTTATCTTATTACTGAATGGCTATTCTGTGCTACGCGCTGCAAGGAATGTCACAAGTCAACTCCTAGGAAAGAAACTTAATACACCAGTAAATTAGTGTGAGACAGGAATCATGACTAATTTAACTAAAATGAATGGAATTTGGCAAGGATCTGGACAACAGCGAGAATGACTCATTTGCTTGTGAACGACCCCTAAACAGCCAAGTGATCTGAAGGAGGGTTCATCCCTCTGGCCTAGAGACTTACTCTGTGTAAAATGGTCACCATTTGCCCTCATTTTCCTTGCTAACATTTTATTCCTCCCCAAACTGGCAGATAAAAGAGAGAATTCTGCTATTCTAAGGCTTCAATGTCACCCAAAGTAGCACTGCTATCCTCTGGGGGTAGGGTGCAGGGAGACAGGCCAATGCTCTGAACTGAGGCTCCATAAAGGATGCAGTATCTGTGTTGGACCCTGAGAAGTACCTAGGGTTTGGGCACCCAGACAGAAGAAGGGGGCATACTAGATGATGTCTGTAAGTGTAAAAAAATAAAATGAATGACATATTTCTCTTCTTATGAAATAGAAAACCTTCCAGTGAGTTCTGACTAATTAAATTCAGAATATTTTTTATTAGCATCTTGATAGTTGTTTTTACCAACTCTTCATTGTCAATAGAAATAAACATGTGAGGGCTGGGGCTGTGGCTCATTGGTAGAGCGCTCACCTTGCATGTATGAGGCTCTGGGTTCCATCCTCAGCACCACATAAAAATAAATAAATAAATAAAATAAAGGTATCATGTCCAACTATAACTAAAAAATAAATATTAAAAAAAAGAAACATATGAGTGTACATTCTGGATTGACCCAGAACTGGGAAGATAATCATTCTAATACAACTGTTCCTACTTGAATGTGTAGATCAAGTTGGTGACAAAAATCAGTTTACTTACTTTAGAACCCAAAATTAATCCAGTTTTAAAATCTTAAAATACCTAAGTGTTGCTTTTTTTTAATTAGTTTTTTTTTATTTATACACGACAGTGGAATGCATTACAATTCTTATTACACATATAGAGCATAATTTTTTCACATCTCTGGCTATATACAAAATATATTCACACCAATTCGTGTCTTCATCCATGTACCTTGGATAATAATGTCCATCATATTCCACTATCATTACTAACCCCATGCCTCCTCCCTTCCCCTCCCACCCCTCTGCCCTATCTAGAGTTTGTCTATTCCTCCCCTGCTCCCCCTCCCTACCCCACTATGAATCAGCCTCCTTATATCAGAGAAAGCATTCAGCATTTGTTTTTTTGGGATTGGTTAACTTAGCATTTATCTTCTCTAACTCCATCCAAGTGTTGCTTTTGTGGATAATGAGGTATGGAAGGTCACCTGGTGCACCCTGTCCTTCTCTGCTTCTAGCTTTAGGACTGAGCAGGTTCCCTCATCTCTCTGATCCCGAGTTTCCTGGTCTATAAAACAGAGATCAGTAATAATGCCTGATATTTGTTTGAGGATTGGAGGGGATGGTGATTGATCTTCAGGACAAGTCCTGGACAAAATATACATATAAAGCCACTAGTAAGTGACTCCACTCAAGGCGTTTGTAAGTGGGAAAACTAAGAAATGATGGTCTTTCAGCAAGACAGCAAGGAGATTGATTATGTGGCAGTTTTCAGGGGCTAGATCTCAAATTCATAATGACCATCTGACTTTGTTTCAATATTGTGTTTTCTCTTTTTCCCATAGATGATCTTAGTAGCCATATTTTCAGAAACTGGATTTTTTGATTTTTGTGCTGTAAAGGTAGGTGTGATCTTACATTTAATAGATAAGTACTAACTAACATATTTGTTGTTTGGACATTGTACATTTAGTACATTAAAGTATTATTTAAAACAAATATTTAAAAATTTTATCCTCCTTTTCAAAATTGCTTCTGCAAGGCTGGATATAGTTACCTGACTCTGAGCAATGCTTTCTGCTTCTCCATAAATAAATGAAGAAGGAGATGAAGGAAAAGGGTACTCACGTTGAATGTTTGTATAACATTATTTAAATTGGCTGGTGAAAGCTACACATCAAAAATTATTTTGCATATTAGAGTCTCTAAATATTCCAAGCCATCAGCTTCTGATTGCTTTGCTTTTTGGTGAAATAATTTCAATGATTACTTTCTAAATATTGAAGTATACACATTTACTATTTTTAAATTAGGGAAAAACATGTTTGTCTTTTAAAAATCCCTTAAGGATCTTATTTATTTACTTATGTTTTGGTGCAGAGGATTGAATCCAGGGCCTCACACATGCTAAACATTACCACTACCACTTACTCCACCCCAACCCCTTAAAGGTCTTATTTAAAAAAAAAAAACATATTATTGATATTATTTTTTGATTGGCAAATCATAACTGTACTCATTTTTGAGGTACAATGTGATTTTGTGATGAATGGATACACAAAGTGGCAGGACAAAATCAAGCTAGTTAACATATCTATCACTTCATTTATCTTTTTTATGGTGAGACATTTGAAATCTACTCTCTTAGTTATTTTGAAATGTATACTACACTATTATTAATTAATTATTGGCTAATTAACTATAGTCAATATGCCTGTGTAGTAGATCTCAAAATGTATTCCTCTATCTTCAACTTTGTACCCTTTGATCAACATCTCCCCAACCCCCTCTCCCAGCCCTTCCATCTCTGGTAAGTCTCATTCTACTCTCTACTTCTATATCAATTTTATCAGATTCCATATTTGAGATCATGTGGTCTTCATCTTTCTGTGCCTGGCTTGTTTCACTTAATGTAATGTCCTTCAGTTCCATCCATGTTGTTGAAAATTACAGGCTTTTTTCCTTTTTTATGTATTAAATAGTATCCTATAATGTATATATCGCCTTTATCCATTCATCTGTTGATGGACACTTAGATTAATCCATATCTTGGCTGTTGTTAATAACTCTTCAGTAAACATACAGATATACATTCCTTTGGATATATGCTCAGTAGTGGGATAACTGGATCATACAGTTGATAGATTTTAGTTTTTTGAGGACCCTCCATCCTATTCTCTATAATGGCTGTACTGATTTACATCTCTACCAACAGTGTATGACTTTCATTTTCTTTACATTTTCTCCAACACTTGTGATTTCTCATTATGACCTTCATTTGCATTTTTAGCTGGAACTTTGGAGAGTTTCACTAGTAGGTTCTGGCATGCAGGATTTGTACTAACTCTAGCATGCATGGTTGGCAAGAGATCTTGCAGGGCCCTACTAATGCAAAGGCTAGTGCTGTCTTGATGTTGCTTTTGTAACTGAAAAACTCTTATAAAAATAATTTATCTAACAAAACACTTTGAAAATTCTGAATAAAAGAACCATGTAGTGATTTTTGTGGTCTTTGTGTACCATATTGTATATACCAGGCATATATCTGGCCTCTTCCTTCTAATACCTTGATAATAAAAGTATTCCTTATGTCTCCAAAGATCAGGGTCACATGGATCCCAAATGTAGCTGTTCAGGATATCTAATCAAAATTATAGATAACATGAAAGGGATTGAATGTTGACATTTTGTAACAAATTAACCATCATAAGGGCACAGTGAAGAGAGAGAATCAAAAAAGAGAGAATGTAGGGCCTTGTGGATTTAGATTGTCCAAGTACTTTAATGGCCACTACCATGTGATCTTAACAGATTTAGGGATTCTAGAGTATAAGTTCTAACCCACCATGCATAGATTATTTGGGTCCCTATTCCTTGGATTCACTTATGAAAAGTCGCACCTATTCTACAAATGCACTGATTCTATCTTATTCCTTCCAACATGTGTGTGCACCCAGGCATACCGACTATCCCGAGGAAGGGTATGGACCATGATCATCATGCTGTGTCTCATTGCTGCCATCCTTTCTGCCTTCTTAGACAATGTCACCACGATGCTCCTCTTTACTCCTGTGACCATAAGGTAAGCAGAGCACTTGTGCTGTGGGGACCATAGCCAGGCTCAGGGCAGGTATGTTCTGGCTGTACCACCTGACCCAAGGCTCCCTTCTTACATCTACAAAAAGACAGGGGCCAGTACCCACCCTTTCACTGAAGCACAACTCACTGCATTCCAGACCAGCCAGCTCTGGCTTTGTGAGACTTAAATGCACTTGACAAGCTGCGGTATTCCCATAGCTGGGTGACAGCAATGTGGTGGGGAGTTGGAAGATGTGGGCATTGCTTTCCAGGAGACTGGGCTGTTATTGAGGACCCTAGACAGTTCTTGTCCATGCACTCCCATTATCATCTTCCACCTGGCTAGCAGTAGTTCACAATTGTGCTGGTATGAGAGCTCTATCCAGGGCTCCGAGGGGCACGTGCCTTGGGGAAGATGAAATGGTCATTGTCTGATTCCTTGTCTGAGGGCTTGGAAGGTAGCAGGACAGACTGGGTTCACCTGAGTTAGGACTTGGCCTAATGGTACTTTGCAGGCAATTTCAGGAAAGAGACATTCAGTCTAATTCAATTCCAACTCTTAATCCCATCTACTTCAATAATTTGACATATATTGAGTGCCACAATATGTTGCCCAGAATCTTCTGCAGCTACAGGTTCAGTTCTGGCCCTTGTGTGAACCCTTTTTTCCAAAGTATAGACCTTTTGTTGTATCTACCCTGTATATTCTTTGTTTTAAAGATGGTTCTCCAGCATTTGAGCCCCAGGCTCCCAAACCTGGGTCCTCCCCAGCTTGGACCCATCATGTACTGGTACTTGGCTGGTTCTGGGGATACAGAAAGTGATAGGTAACCCTCAAAGGTCCACAGTGAGGGGAAGCACTAACATTTGTCCTGCTTAGTGATTGGGCATCTTGAATAAGTCACTTCAGCTGCATTGATCTGAGTTGCACCATCAAAGGGATTAACCTGAGCTAGCAGGATGAAAATTCTGTGAGATAATGGACCTGCTTGGACACAAAGCATGAGACAGAGAAAGTTCAGTCACTAGCAATGGGCTACTTCCAAGGCTCACGATTAATTCTGGGGGATGCTTTTGGCATTTGAAGAGTGATGTCTCTTAGAGGAGGAGTGAGTTGGGGTCTTAAATGGGGACTGCAGTATTCTGAGACTATCACTTACCTCACCACGGAGATGTGGGTTTGTACCCAGGCTCCTGCAAGTTGGCCACGTTGTGAGAGCCAAGTGCAGATGGGGACTTGGAGTGAGATAGGCTGAATTCTCAGCCTTTCTCTGTAGGATGGGGCAAAGCACCCTTTGGTACTTGGGTTGAGGGTAAATGAGAGATGGAGTGAACATATTTGAAGGGTGTGGTAAATTTTAATATACATTACTGATAATACTGAACTGTGCCTCTTAGACTCTTTAGGGCCCTAAACTGCCCTCCTCCAATCAGCATGAATCTGCTGCCCGCCTCAGATTGCTGACTACATCATTTCCCAGATGCGTCAGATTCTAGTACCACTGCACTCTCCCATAGCAGCCTGGGAAAAGTGGGATTCGGGACTGAGGTCCATGGGGCACCCTTTTCCCAGCATCCTCACACAGCCTGGAGAGCCCAGGGGCTTGTTCAGCCTTTCTGGAAATTGTTTTGATCCTTGTTGCTCAGAAATTAGCTTTGTAATTTTTTAAAATCAGGGACTTCATTTTCTAGTCTGAAACCCATGTCTTTCAAGATGTGTTTCACATATCGTTGGGCTTAAGATTCATTATTTATATTATAACGTTATTCGTATTTTAGAGGAGTTGATTGCTTTCTTCTGCCTTTGTCTGGACTGAGAAGTGCTCAGTCCCTAGAGTTCAACAGCGAGGTCCATTTAGATCAGGTGCCATCTCTGTGCTCTGTCTATGAATTATTTTCTTGCTAGAAGGAGATTCTGGTAGCTTCCTCCACTGAGTGTAGCTGCTGACTTGGGTCTGATGCCCATATGTAGAGTCACTCTGAATCCTGGTGGCCAGGATCACTCCTTCTTCAGCATCCATACAGCCTCTGGGCCAGTCTGCCCTCACATCATCAGTGGAGGGGAAGGCTGTGTGGCTGGCTATGCTCTGAGCTGAGGGCAGGAGGTGGTCGGAAAACCTTCAAGTACAGCAGTACCTGTCTCAAGGAGTGAGATCCAGAGCCCAGTTACTACATGACAGAGGGAAAAGAGGATGAACAAGTTTTGGAGGATGCTGTGATGTGCTCTCTGTACTTTCTTTGAGCAATGTTTCTCATCTCTGTGCACAGCACTCACTTGAGGAGTTCTAGAATGCTGCTGGTCCAGGCTCACTCCCACGTGTTGGTCTCTGCAGACCAGGCTGTAGAACTTTCAAGGATTATTTATTTATTTTGGCACTGGGGATTGAACCAGGGGCACTAAACCACTTAGCCACATCCTCAGCCCTATTTTGTATTTTATTTAGAGACAGGATCTCACTGAGTTGCTTCAGGCCTCACTAAGTTGCTGAGACTGGCTTTGAACTTGAGATCCTCGTGTCTCAGCCTCCTGAATGGTTGGAATTATAGGCATACATCACCACACCCAGCAACTTTTGAGGATTCTAAGACAATCTAGTGCAGCCATGATGGAGAACTTTCTTCTCTAGGGAAAAAGTCAGTAATCAGTAGTTAAAGGGAAGGACTGAGAGGAAACCTTGGGGTCTTAGCATCTGTGAAGGGGAGGCAGGTACAGGACTAGGTGAGCAGGCTTAGTGTGAGCACTGGTGATTTCTGCATTGACCCCTGCCCCTGACTCAGAGGGTTTTGGTGGCCAGTGCCCATCTGCCTGTGCTGGGCCTTGCCTTTCACTGGGAGCTTGCACACAGGAGACTGTGCTCCATCTAGACTTGTGGGGGTGGAGAAGGGTTACATCAGGACACTGATGGTTCAGAGGATGATGGGTTAATTCAGAAGAAATGTCATTTTCAGAATCAGCTGCAGCCCCAGGGTATTATTGTAGTTGAGTCCCCAACCCCCACACTGCCCTCTCATAAATGTGTGTGCTTTCTAGGTTTAAGCCATATATCTGGGCTTCACATGGGCCCTTTATGATGTAAATAGTGGGACTACTTTCATTTTCCTCCATTTATGATAGATTATGTGAGGTGCTCAACCTTGATCCAAGGCAAGTCCTGATTGCAGAGGTGATCTTCACAAACATTGGAGGAGCTGCCACTGCCATCGGGGACCCACCAAATGTCATTATTGTTTCCAACCAAGAATTGAGGAAGATGGTATGTACCAGTATATTAGGGTTACTTTCAATAAATGCAGAACTAAACTCACTTAGCCCTCTGACTAGTGTTTTAGAAACCTTTATTAACCTTTATTAGAAATCAAGATCCTCTGTATTACCTCTTTATAGTAAATGCTTTTAGATGTCTTGTGGGTGGGACGTAAGGAGACAGAGATGAATTGCCTTCATTCTCGATCTCCTAAGTTTTTGAAGAAATGATTGGATAACATAGTCATAATATGTTGTATTAATTACATCAATAGGAATGGAGGTTTAACTAGTATTAAGAACAAAATGGCCTGTCATCTTTTACAGGAGATATGTGATTTCCTTCTCAACTGAGGTAGATAAATTTATTTAAGAACTTAAACTTTTTTTAAGGGTCAGAACGTGAAGGCCTTAGAAGTTCTTTGAAAACCCCTATAGCTATTTTTTCCACATTTTTAATTGGTGCATTATAGTTGTACTAAATAGATGGATTTGTTATTACATATTCATACATGCACATAATATAAGAATATAATTTGGCCAATATCATTCCCCATTATAGTTCCCCTTCCCCTCCTCTCCTCCCACCCCATGACCCCTTTCCCCTACTCTGTTGATCTCTCTGATTTTCATGAGATCCTCCCCACTTTTCTTGTCCTTTTTCCTCTGTAGCTTCCACATATGAGAGAAGACATGTGACTCCTGACCTTCTAAGTTCTACTTATTTTACTTAACATAATGTTTTCAAGTTCCATCCATTTTCCTGAAAGTGACATAAATAAAAATTATAGCTAAATACAATTCTCTTTATAGCTAAATACAACTCTAATGTGTATGTATACCACATTACCTACATCTATTCATCTCTTGATGGACACCAGTTCCATAGTTGGGCTATTGTGAATTGTGTTGCTATAAATGTGGGTATGTATGTATCATTATAGTATGATGGCTTTAATTCTTAAGGATAAATACCAAAGAGTGGTATAGCTGGGTCATATGGTGTTCCATGCCTAGTCTTATATATATAGTCAGCTATATATATATATATATATTTCTGACCTTCAGTTTTTATTTAAATATAGTAAACTTTTAATAGAATAAACAAAAATCCTCTACACAGCAAATATTTTACATAAATGTAACATGCATGCCTATTTCACAATTAAGCAAAATGGACTTTTAGGCACAAGATTTAAAAAATCATGAAAGAATGAGACATGAACGTAAGATAGAAATAACAGAGGCAACAGAAACATACATTACTTAACACCTCAGTTGGTCTTATCTTCCAACCTACTAATTAAGGCCTGAGTTTCAGGAATCCTATGTTCTTAACTGGAAATATCTAGTTTGGTTGTACCTAACATATATCCCCATAACAAATAATTATCTTTCAAAATAATCTAATAAATATATCATTCACACACATATGTACACACACATACACACACATTCTGCTGAACTATCCTCTCAAATAGGGAAGTAAGAATTTTGGGATTTTTACATAGAAAAATTAATTCTGCTACAGAAATACAACAATGAGTGGCATTATTAGAAGTCTCTAGTTCATTTGTATTACTTTTCCCTAAATCACCTTTTTACTAAGTCTTGCCATGGCTCCTCAGACACTCCTGACTTAATCTTTTCATCCTGCCTAAATGACCCACAGTAGAGATGCTTTATAGAGAAAAGGAGACTTAACAATTCAGTTAGAAACTTCAGCATGGGTATCGTACAGTCAGCTTAGTCCAAATGCCTGGGACAATTTCTTTATGTCTGTTTTCTTGGGTTTTATTGGTTAGTTTTCTCTGTTTACTCCCCTACCAGCCTATAAGCACCTGAACAGCCTGTGATGACAGTCCCTGATTTTAGGGAGATCACACCAATCAGAGTTCAAGCAGGAGAAAGGTCTGTTTGAACATGCAGGGCACTTCACATGGGGTGAGGCAAGCAGAGGAAGAGTCCATGAAGATGGTGCCTACAGAACCTCAGAAGTGGGGTCTGGAATTGGGGAGAGGAGCAGGAGAGTTAGAGAAGAGAGAGGCAGGAAGAAAAAAAATCCAGTTTGACTGGCAAGAGGATACTTGTGAGAAGTCATCTGTGAGAACGTGTTCTCAAAAGAGAAAAGCTTCCTTATTCTGGTGGGTAAAGTTGGGGGTGTGGGTGGTGCAGAAGCACTGAAGGCTTTGCACAGGGAACAAAACCCAGAGCTATGCTGGAGAATCACTACACAGTGCTGGGTGGGACAGATGACAGAGGAGAGGGCAGTAGCTCAGAAAGCTTCACTCACCAAGCCCAGTGCTACATGCAAGTATTTCCCATAGAGACAAGTGTCAACATGCCCCAAACCACACAGTTCTGTATACATAAATCAAGGCTTTTGGACAAGAATATCCTCAGCAAAATATTCCAAAAAGAGGAAGTGAAAAACAATGATGGAAATTAGCAGAGGGAGGGATTACGCTAAAGAAAAATTTAATCAGAGGAGAAACCAAGTCACATAAATACCAAAAAGAAACAAAAATGACTAAAAATACAAATCATGTCTCAATAATAACCCTGAAGGTTAATGGCCTAAACTCACCAATCAAAAGACATAGACTAGCAGATTGGATCAAAATAAAAGACATAACAATATGCTGCCTCAAAAAGACTCATAGAAAAAGATATCCAGAGACTGAAGGTGAAGGGAGGGTTGGGAAAAATCATACCACTCACATGGACAGTAGAAGCAAGCATGGGTTTTCATCCTCATATCAAATAAAGTAGACTTCAAACTAAAGTCATTCAAAAAGGATAAAGAAGGACACTACATACTGCTCAAGGGAACCATACACCAACAAGACTTAACAATCATAAATATATATGCCCCAAACAATGGAGCATCTACGTTCATCAAACTCTTCTCAAGTTCAAGAGTCAAATAGGTGACAACACAATAATTTTGGGTGACTTTAACACACCTTTTCCATCACTAGATAGATTTTCCAAACAAAAGCTGAACAAAGAAAATATAGAACTCAATAGAACAATCAATAACTTAGACCTAACTGACATATATAGAATATTTCATCCTTCAACGAGAATAATACACTTTCTTCTCAGCAGCACATGGATCCTTCTCTAAAATAGACCATATACTATGACACAAAGCAACTCCTAGCAAATATAAAAAAGTAGAGATACTACCCTGCATTCTATCAGATCATAATGGAATGAAATTAGAAATCAATGATTAAATAAGAAATAAAATCCACTCCAATGCCTGGAGATTAAATAATGTGCTATTTCATGAACAATGGGTTGCAGAAGACATTAGGGAGGAGATTAAAAAATTTTAAAGGTTAATGAGAATACAGATACAAAATATCAAAATCTCTGGGACACTATCAAAGCAGTTCTAAGAGGAAAGTTCATTGCATGGAATTCATTCCTTAAAAGAAGAAAAAGTCCACAAATATATGACTTAACACTACATCTCAAAGCCCTAGAAAAAGAAGAACAAATCAACACCAAAATCAGTAGAAGACAGGAAATAATTAAAATCAGAGCTGAAATCAATGAAATTGAAACAAAAGAAATAATTAAAAAAATATAGAACACAAAGTTGGTTCTTTGAAAAAACAAATAAAATTGTCAGACCTTTAGCCATGCTAACAAAGAGAAGGAGAGAGAAAACTTAAATCACTAACATACATGATGAAAAAGGCAACATCACAACAGACACTACAGAAATACAGAAAATAATTAGAAATTATTTTGAAAACTTGTACTCCATTCAAATAGAAAATATCGAAGGCATCAACAAATTTCTAGAGTCATATAATTTGCCCAAATTAAATCAGGATGATATACATAATTTAAAAAGATCAATTTCAAGTGACAAAATAACAGACACCATCAAAAGCCTACCAACCAAGAAAAGCCCAGGACCGGATGGATATACAGCTGAGTTCTACAAGACCTTTAAAGAAGAACTAATACAAATACTCTTCAATTTATTTCAGGAAATAGAAATACAGGCAGCACTTTCAAACTCATTCTATGAGGCCAATATCACCCTGATTCTAAAACCAGGGAAAGACACATCAAAAAAAAAAAAAAAAAAAAAAAAAACCAATATTTCGACCAATATTTCTAATCAATATAGATGCAAAAATTCTTAGTAAAATTCTGGCAAGTCAAATACAAAAACATATAAAAAAGATCATGCACCATGATCAAGTGGGATTCATCCCAGGGATGCAAGTTTGGTTCAACTTACGAAAACCAATAAATGTAATTCATCACATCAGTAGACTTAAAGATAGGAATCATGTGATCATCTCAATAGATGCAGAAAAAGCATTTGACAAAATACAGTACTCCTTTATGTTCAAAACACTAGAAAAATTAGGGATAACAGGAACATATCTCAACATCATAAAGGCTACCAATGCAAAGCCCCAGGCCAACATCATTCTAAATGGAGAAAAATTGAAGGCATTCCCTTTAAAAATCAGAACAAGACAGGGATGCCCTCTTTCACCACTTCTATTTAACATAGTTCTTGAAACACTGGTCAGAGCAATCAGATAGATGAAGGAAATTAAAGGGATACACATAGGAAAAGAAGAACTCAAATTGGCACTATTTGCTGATGATGTGATTCTATACCTAGAAGATCCTAAAGGTTCCACCAGAAAACTTCTAGAACTAGTAAATGAATTAATCAAAGTAGCAGGATATAAAATCAGCACCCTTAAATCAAAGGCATTTCTGTATATCAAAGATAAATCCTCAGAAATGGAAATGAGGAAAACTATCCCATTTTCAATAGCCTAAAAAAATGAAATACTTGGGAATCAACAAAAGAGGTGAAAGATCTATATAATGAAAATTACAGAACCCTAAAGAAAGAAGTCAAAGAAGACCTTATAAGCTGGAAAGATCTACCTTGCTCTTGGATAGGCATAATTAATATTATTAAAAAATGACCATACTTCCTAAAGCACTATACAGATTTAATGCAATTCTTATCAAAATCCCAATGACATTCCTCATAGAAATAGAAAAAGCAATCATGAAATTCATCTGGAAAAATAAGAGACTCAGAATAGCCAAAGCAATCCTTAGCAGGAAGAGGGAAGCAGGTGGCACCACTATACCAGACCTTAAACTATACTACAGAGCAACAGTAACAAAAACAGCATGGTATTGGCACCAAAACAGACTGGTAGACCAATGGTACAGAATGGAGGACACAGAGACTAACCCACAAAATTACAATTATCTTATATTAGACAAAGGTGCCAAAACATGCATTGGACAAAAGATAGCTTCTTCAACAAATGGTGCTGGGAAAACTGGAAATCCATTTGCAACAAAATGAAATTAAACCCCTATCTCTTATCATGCACAAAACTCAACTCAAAATGGATCAAGGACTTAGGAATAAAACCAGAGACCCTATTAGAAGAAAAAGTAGTCCCTAATCTCTATCATGTGGGATTAGGCCCCAACTTTCTTAATAAGACTCCTGTGGTGCAAGAATTAAGATCAAGGATCAATAAATGGGATGGACTCAAACTAAAAAGCTTTCTTTTCAGCAAAAGAAACAATCTGTGAGGTGAATAGAGAGCCTACATCTTGCGAGCAAATCTTTACCCCTCACACATCAGATAGAGCACTAAATCTCTAGGGTATATAAAGAACTCAAAAAGCTAAGCACCAAAAAAATGAAATAATCCAATCAATAAATGGGCCAAGGACCTGAATAGATACTTCTCAGAAGAATATATACAATTAATCAACAAATATATGAAAAAATGTTCATCATCACTAACAATTACAGAAATGCAAATCAAAACCACCCTAGGATTTCATCTCACTTCAGTTAGAATGGAAACTATTATGAAGACAAACAACAGTAAGTTTTGGCAAGGATGCGGGGAAAAAGATACGCTGGTGGTGGGACTGCAAATTGGTACAGCCAATATAGAAAGCAGTATGGAGATTCCTTGAAAGCTGGGAATGGAACCACCATTTGATCCAGCTATTCCTCTCCTTGGTCTATACCCAAAGGACTTAAAAACAGCATACTACAGGGACACAGCCACATCAATGTTTATAGCAGCACAGTTCACAATAGCTAAACTGTGGAACCAACCTAGATACCCTTCAATAGATGAATGGATAAAAAATATGTGGCCTATATGCACAATGGAATTTTACTCAGCAACAGAATAGAATAAAATCGTGGCATTTGCAGGTAAATGGATGGAATTAGAGTAGATAATTCTAAGTGAAGTTAGCTAATTCCAAAAAACCAAATGCCGAATATTTTCTTTGATATAAGGAGACTGATTCATAGTGGGATAGGGAGAGGCACGTGGGAGGAATAGACAGACTCTAGATAGGGCACAAGGGTTGGAGGGGAAGGTAGGGGTCATAGGGTTATAAATTATGGTGGAATGTGATGATCATTATTATCCAACATACATGTATGAAGACACGGATTGATGTGAATATACTTTGTATACAACCAGAGATATGAAAAGCTGTGCTCTATATGTGTAATAAGAATTGTAATGCATTCTGTTGTCATATATAAATAATAAAATACAGAAATAAACAGAGCTGGGTTTGTGGCTCAGTAGCAGAGTGCTCTCCTACCATGTGTGAGGCACTGTGTTTGATCTTCAGCACCACATAAAAATAAAGATATTGTGTCCACATATAACTAAAAAATAAACATATTTTTTAAAAGAAGAGTCTCAAATTCATGACTTCAGAAAATTGTGTCCTTTAGCTGCTTCTGGTAGTGCTTTCCTCCATTCCCCTGGGTGACAACTTTCAGTGTCATTCTGCTGGCTCTGCCTCTTTGGCCATTTCTTAGTCTCCTTCATGAGCATTTTACTCCCATACCACTCTTCAGTACCTATGGCGGATTCTTTAGTTGATGTTTTCCCCTCCTGGGCCAGTTCATCACTTCTGTGGCTTGCTGTTTCCTGCATGCTGGAAAACTTCATAGTTATTATATTACAAACACACCCACCTTCACTCTTCCAGAAGTCTTCTTATCTCCTTCAGATCCATAGGTGTCAGGACCCCTCTGCCACATGCACTGCTGGTCCCTTGCACACAGCAGGATCACACCAATCACTCCTGTCTGTCACCATATTCATTCCTATGGTATCTATGTTCTCTCCTTACTGTGTTCTCCAGCCCTGAGAACTCCTCTGTCCTGGGCAACCAGACTAGATTCTGTTTCCAAAATGCACTGTGTGTATTTTACTAACACACTCAGTAGATTCAGCTTAACAATTCATAAGCTTTTCACTTAGAAGAGTTTTCACTGGGTTTTTACCTTGGAATAATTCAAGAAACCACTTTGGCTTGAACCATCCCTTACGACCCAGTGGACTCTTGACTAGTCACATAGCTAACCGGATAGCATAGTGCCTAGGAAACAGTATTGCTTGACTGGGAATCCTTTAGCTACATCCTCATAATTTTATGTAGCTTATAAAGTAAGGCATATTCTACTCTGTTTTCCACAGGGTCCTCTATTGGTTGTTTCACATGCTTCAATGTTTGACCACTAATCCATTAAATGAGGATTTGTGGAAAACTGCAAAGAAAATGACTGAGTGGAGCCCCAAACAAAACCATACAGAATAATGTAGAAGCAGAAGCAGTACCATGCAAGAAGAAAGGGCTGCAGTTAAACACCGTATTGATGTAGTGTGACAGGAGATGGTTTTGTTACTGGGAACATTAAAGAGAAGTATCTAGGAAATTATAGAGATCTGCAGTAGCAGCAGGGGGGCCCAGATACATGCACCTAATAAGCTTAGTGAAAACATTTGCATCCCATTATACATTGCTTTTGCTTGTATTACTTCTTAAAAATATCAGTTTGAATTTTTTTCTGCTTTGTATTGCTTGATAAATTCACCCATTCCACAACTCTAGTAGCAATCAAATACCTCCACTCAGTGCTGTGTAATTTTGCTGTGGATGTATTGCTTGGACCTCTTTAGTTCTTGGGTTTTGTTTTTTTTCATTTATCTACCCAGTTTTTCTTTAAATGCCCCACCATTTCTAAAGCAGCAAAACTTCATAGTTATTATATTCCAAACAGACCCAGAATTACAAGGGGTACAAAGATCTATGTTTTCCTGGGCCATTTCCATGAAACAGAATTAACAGTTACATTTCATGACCCAGTTGGGCATAAAGATAACTATCTTAATATTGTGTTTTAAATAATTTTCTCTGACCCAAAAGTTCATTTTTTTTACTTCTGATTTTAGAGGAAATTAGAACATTTTCATGAGTACCTTAAAGTATTATTTTCAAGCTGATATCTGGAGTATGAATGCTGTAGATAAACACAAAGTTCAAGGTCATGGTCAACATCTGACCATGGTGCATCCCCCACGGGCAGGCCAGAGGAAGCAAGCAGAGGGCACTTGCCTAGGACCCCTGTGACTGGTCCTCATGCTCTGGGCAGCCTCTGATGCTGACCAGGGAGGAAAGACTGTGCTTTCCAGCCCTGAGGACTCTCTCCTTCAAATCAATGGCAAGAACTTTAGTGAAATGCTTTAAAAACCCAATGTACCTTTAAAATGGTGAATACTGTTAGTCACATTGTTTAATGTTTACTCACATTCAGTCTTTTTACACCTGAAACTGGAAGCCAAGGTTGGAATTAGATATGTTAGCTTGTTTTTTTTTCCCCTCCTAAGATGGTTTTTTATACATGTAAGAATTATTAGTTCAACATGAAAGAAAAAAACCTTGACTGTTTCAAACTCATGGTGAGGCATCTGTATTTTTCCTTGGTTTTTGTGCAGAGTTCCCAGAGGTCCTGATGTTCCCTACAATCTCTGGTCTTGGCCCTCCATGGACCCTGATGTGGGGAGCTGCCACCAGTGCAGAGGAAAGGGCATTTCCACCCATTTCCCCTTTTATCTTTCCAGGGCCTGGACTTCGCCAGATTCACGGCACACATGTTTGTTGGGATTTGCCTTGTTCTTCTGGTCTCATTCCCACTCCTCAGACTCCTGTACTGGAACAAAAAGCTTTATAACAAGGAGCCCAGTGAGATCGTTGGTAGGTATAAGCCTCAGAGTTCATATGATTATTTTTCCCAGGGGAAATTCTTACAAAGAGGTCAGAGCCGCCATCCCATGTAAAACATGAGGGAAGTGTCTCTTGTTGGGACCCTGTGTGCTCAAGATCAGAGACTGTGCATATCTGCCTCCCTTCTCCCGCGCAAAATCTCTCTCAGCTAAATCACTTCAGAATTCCTGTTTAATTCCACAGTTAGAAAACAAAAGTGCTACCTGAACATTGATGATGGGCTGAGCAGAATAGGGCCGGTAGAGCTTTGGATTTGATGGTCTGGAAAGTAGGTAGGCTCTGAGCGTGCATGGGTGGAGTTGAGGCTGCTTCTGAGGACACACCAGCATAAGAGAGCCCAGGGGACCTAGAAGGCCAGCATCACCAGTGCAATGCTGGCTCCCAATCTCTGCTTCTCTAAATACAAAGACATGGATGAAACTCCCAGCCTGCATCCATGGGCTGCCTCCAGAGTGGCACCATGTAGACATGTAAGCTTTTCAAAGCTGATTAGTTGCTTCAGAAAGTACCCTTCACTGTGATGACTTTAAAGAGCTGCTGGAATGTCTCTGGCGTTTATGGATGGGTTTTTAATGATACCTTTCATCTGATGAGGTTCAGAGCATTCGATGAAACCCAGGCACCATCTGAACTTATGCTGAAGCCATTCCACAGCCCCGTCTCTCTTTTCCTATCCCAATGTGGAGTTTCGTGTTCAAAGTTTCGGGAAGGCTCGTTCATTGCTTTCTCCTCCTCCTATTCTTCCCCATCTTTTTATGTTATCAAAACCTCATAGGAGGTTTGATGAGGTGTGAGTCTTTTCAGAGGGAAAGCATGGATCCACTTCTCTGAAGAAGCCTTTGAATTACACCCAAGTTCATTTTATTTTAGAAAGCTGTGGTGCATCTTTGTAAGGCTGAAACTCAAAACCAAGCACTGGCTGATGTTGTCTCAGTGCTCCCGTTCTCCCTGGGTCTCTCTATTGAGTCTTGGCAGCCTTCATTTATAGTCTGTTTCTCTGACAAACGTCTCTGTTTTCTCAGCAGTGCAGCAGGTCTGCCACACGGTAGGTGATCAGCACTTGTGTACCAAATAGAGGGGGCATAAAAGGTAGTGTTTTCTTTATTGGTTGAGTTCACAGTGATTGTACTGCTGTGTCTTGTCTCCACCTGAAATAGGCTGTCAGGTGCTCCAGCCCCTGCTTTGGTCTTTTAATTTAATTCTTGTGACGTATATCGTATGGTGCATTGCACATAATGTAGTTTGGATCTGGAATTATCCCCTGAGGTCCCTGTGTTGAAGACATAGTCCCTAGGGAGGCACTACTGGGATGGGTGGAAACTTTAGGAGGTGGGACTAGCTGGAGGGAGTTAGGTCCCTGGGGACATGCTCATGAAGTGGATGTTGGGATCTGCAGGCCTTCCTCTCTCTGTCTGCTTCCTGGCTACCATGAGGTGAGCAGCTTCCTCTACCATACACTCCTGCTGTGATGTGCTGCTTCACTCTACCCCAAAGCAGTGCCAACTGACTATAGACTGAAACCTCTCAAACTTTGAGTCAAAATAAACCTTTTCTCCTCTTGAGTTATTAATCTCAGCTATTTTGTTTTAGTGACAAAAAACTGACTGAGTGGTGAATGAAAACAGTGCCTTTTTCTTATTCTCTTAGTGATTATTTTGAGAATTTTGTATAGCATTTTAAATTGTAAAGTAGAGGTAAGCTTTCATGAAGTTCTTTAATATCTTAGGCAATGAATCATCTCTCTTTTCTCTCTCAGAAGCTTCTGAATTCACTTTTGGATGAAAATTCTGCTCATCTACTGATGTCAGCATTTCATCAGGCTACTTCTCCCTTTCCTGGGTAACAGACTTGAGCTCAGTGAGGGACTGATTGGGAATGAGGGCTATTCCCAACTCCTCTCTCTTCCCAAATGTCCTGCTGGCCCTGAAAGCCACTGCCTGAGAACAACCCTTGTGCTTCTGATTTTCACTAGGCCTGTTTCTGAAGTCAGTCAAAGAATGGGCACTTGGCTTTGTTCATTTTCTGTTACTGTTACTGAATACTACAGACTGGACAAGCTCTAAGGCATAGAGTTATTTTTAGCTTATTGTCCAGGAGGCTGGGAAGTCTGAAGCACAACCTGACATCTGGTGAAGGCCTTCTCGCTATGTCATCACATGGCAGAGGGCATCTCCTGGTGCATGAATTTTGGAGGAGACAAACCACATTCAAATCAGAACAGCAATGTATAGATTTTGGCTAAAAGTGGGTCCTGCAAGAAGGGGTTAGTGTTGCTGGGCATTAGGTTTGATGTGTCTGTTTAAGATAGGAATTTATTTGTCACCAGAGAGTTGAAATTGTTCTACTTCACTTCCATGATCATTTTAAAAAGTGAGCCTTGTCACCTGGTTTCATTATAGTAACTAACGTGCTGAGAAGCTTCTGCTTTGGGCTGAGCCTGGGAAACCTGAACATTATGAGTGTGTTGTGAGCACTGACTTCCCAGGTTGTGGGAAACTCAATTTTGCCTTACTTTCTCTGCAGAACTGAAGCACGAGATTCACGTGTGGCGCCTGACAGCGCAGCGCATCAGCCCAGCCAGCCGTGAGGAGACGGCCGTGCGTGGCCTGCTGCTGCAGAAGGTGCTGGCACTGGAGCACCTGCTGGCCCGAAGGCTGCACACCTTCAATAGGTATCAAGCTGGGTCCTGCTCAGATTTACAGAAGCAGTTCTTGTGTTTAATGGTTGTGCTTAATGGTGGAATTGTATAAGCAACATACTCCACTACCATCCAGATGTCACATAAAATACAAATCAAGTGAATTAAAATTGTTATTCCAAGCATTTGTGCATTATAAACTGGTGACACTAACTGAGCAAATATGCAACTTTTAGGCGCCATTCATTGAGCTAAGCCTTTTATGGTGCACAACTTTATCTAATTCCCACCTAGCTCTGTGGGGTTAATGTTAGTTCAGTTTAGGGATGAAATAAGCAGAGGCTCAGAGAGTTTGGGCAACTTACCTATGGTTATGTAGCTCAGAAAGAGTGACACTGGGAATTGAACTTACATTCTCAGCCACATTTTATAATTTCCCCACATTTTAATTGTTGTATGATAAAAATCAAAACCAATTAATGTAACAAACTAATCTTACAACAGATTCTCTCAGCAGTTGATTTTCAAGCATTTCAAAGAATACAAATATCCTAATCAATTCATTTCTTAATATTATTTATTTATATTTTTATTTTTAGTGCATTATAATTATACATAATAGTTGGGTTCATCTTGACATATTCATAAATGCATATAACATAGTTTCTCCATTTCAATCCCCAGAATTATCCTTCCTCTCTTCTTTATTTTATTGGTCTTCCTTCTATTTACGTTTTAATTGGTGCATTATAATTATATATAAAATTGCAATGCATGGTGATATATTCATATATATGCATGACATGTTTTGATCAACTTTATTCTGCTTTGAAATGATCAAACCCCCATCACCCAATACTTGCTGTCAGCCAAGGAAGAGGCAGAGCTCAGCCTATAAACTCCTCTAACAAGTTGGGCTGGTTTGGGTCAGAGCTCAGAACAAATAAATAGTATAATAATTGTGTCATATATACTCCTCATATTCAAAATTATGGAAAGAAATGTCTTCATTTAAAAAGTCTCAGCAAGAAGAAAACTGAATTTAAAATATATTGTGATTGCATTAGCTGCTATAGATAGTAATTTTTAAAATATATATTTTAATTGTTGAATTTATTTATTTATATGTGGTGCTGAGAATTGAACCCAGTGCCTCACATATGTTAGGAAAGCGCTCTACCACTGAGCTACAACCCCAGCCCTGTATGTAGTAATTTCCAGTGTCTTCCCTCATGTGTTTTTTCAGAATTCTAATTTTACACTTTTTTTGGTCAATTAATTGGATCCTTTCTCAATAACTTATTCTTTTTCATCTTCATTCCCTTTCATTCTCCTCTATCCTTCTTTCTCATCTCATTTTATCGTCTGCCTCTCTTCCCTCCCCACCCCCTTTTTTTCTGTTTTCTATTTCCTTTATCTTTTTTTTTTGCCTGCTTCCAACACAACTTACTATAAAGGATGCTATCATTGATGCTTAACCTTCTAGCCTATTCTTTATTATTTCTCATTCACTTTTCTCATTGATTAGTAGAGTTGTGGAGATGATTAGTAATAAGTTTTCAAATGTATGCTATTAAGTTATCATTATGACTGGCTGTTGCTTTATCCTCTTGAAGTAGTACTGGGTATTGAACTTAGCACCTTGATTATGCCAATTGGATGTTTTGAAAATAATATAAACTCCCAGCTCAGGGTAGATTGTAAAGAAGTAACTGCTCACTAAAAGACACTTACATAATAGAAAAAGAGGAATCTATGACAATGGATGTACATACAAAAAAAAAATTTGAAAACACAAAAAAATAAACCCCTAAGATATCTCCCCAAATTTTTAACCCCCAAACTACAGATTGAAATGGATGAAATCTTGAACAAAGCATTCAAAAAATTGATTATTAAAATGGTTAATGATTTTAAACAAGATCTAAGGAATGAATTAGGGGAGAAAATATAGGCTGTGAAAAAGTATTTTAATAAAGAGATAGAGGTCCTGAGAAAGAAGCAAACAAAAGTCATTCAATAAATCAAATGAAAAATTCAGTTGAAAAAATTTCTAGATTAGATTAGATGAAGAAAAAGCAGAATTTCGGAGCTTGAAGACAAGATGGTCAGCCTTGAACATTTAGACAATATTAAAGGGAAAAAAAGGAAAGAAAACTATGATCAGAACAGACAAGATATCTGGGTCAATATTGAGAGACCAAACTAAAGACTCATAGACTTTGAGAAAGAAGTAGAAATACAGGTTAATGATATTGAAATAATTTTTGCAAAAATTATCCAAACCTTAGGAAGAAGATGGACATCTAAAAATTGGAGGCATTTAAAACCTCAGACAAGATCAGAAAAGAACCTCTCCATGACACATTATCATTAAAATGCCAACACTACAAATCAAAGAAAGGATTTTAAAGGCTATAGGAGAGATATGACAGGTCAAATTTAGAGGAAAAAGAATCAAAGTAATACAGGATTTCTCAGTATAAACCCTAAAGTTCAAGAGGACTTGGAATGATACATTTCAAGCACTGAAAATCAGTAACTCCCAACTAAGATTGCTATATCTATTAAAGCTATTCTTCAAAATCAAATAAGAAATAAAATCTTCCAGTGTGAGTATAAACTAAAGGAATTCATGACTACTGAGCCAGCATTGCAGAAGATACTTAAAGAAATCCTACATACAGAAATATAAGATAATAACAACAAAGACAGCTTGGAAAAGAATAAATCTAATTAAAAGAGTATATAAGCAGATTAAAATTAGGATTTAATAAAACATTAGAAATAAATCAATAAATCAATAAATTAAATAAATTTAATAAAATTATTAGAAATAAATCAAGGTAGCAGGCAATAATAAACACCTCTCTATAATAACACTGAATGTTAATGGTCTTGATACTATAACTAAAAGATGTGTACTGTAGAGTGGATTAAAAAACAAGATCCAACAATATGTTGTCTGTAAGAAACAAACTCATAGGAAAAACACCCACAGGTTGCAAGTGAAAAGCTGAAAAATGATATTCCATGCAAATGGAACCCCAAAGAAAGCAGGAGTATGTACTCTCATATCCAACAAAACAGACTTCAAGCCAAAATGAGTTACAGGGGACGAAGAAGGTCACAACATACTGCTAGAGGGAATGATACAACATGGAGACATAAAGATAGCAAATATTCATGCTCCAAACTTCAGTACAACTACATAAACAAACACTACTAAACATAAAGTCTCAGATAGATCCCAATACAATAATACTGGGTGATTTCAATACTTTCTTTCACCAGTAGATAGGTCATCCAGATATAAAATCAGCAACAATACTTCAAATCTAAAACATACTATAAATCAAAAGGACTTAACAGACATCTACAGAGTATTTCATCCAACAACAGGTGAATATACTATCTTCTTAGCTGCGTGTGGATCATATTTTAGGTTACAAAGCAAGTCTTAGTAAATGCGAAAAGTCAATATAACTCCTTGAATTTTATTAGCTCATAATGGAATAAAACTAGAAATGAAGAAAAACAAGAAAAATAGAAAGCAAGAAAAATTACAGAAACTATATTAGTATGCAGAGATTGAACAATACACTTTTTAATAATGAATGGGCCAGCAAAGAAATCAGGGAAGAAATGTAAAAATTCTTGGAATAAAATGAGAATAAAGATGCAACATATCAGAATCTCCTGGATGCTGTGAACGCAGTTATAAGAGGAAAGTTTACAGCTATGAGTGCCTAGATTAAAAAAAAGAAAATAAAAAAGATCCCCAATAAATAACCCAATGATGCACCTCAAACACAGAAAAACAGGAAAAAAATGAATTCCAAAACTGCTGGAAGGGAGGAAACAATAAATATCAAAGCCAAAGTTAGTGAAGTAAACAAAAAACAATCCAAAGAATCAATGAATGAAGAGTTGGTTCTTTGAAAAGATAAACAAGATTGATAAGACCTTAGTCAAACTAACCAAAAGAAAAGGGGAAAAGGAGATATTACAACAGAAATCTATGAAATCCAGAGGACAACTATTTTGAAAACATATTCCAACAAATTGGAAAATCTGAAAGATATTGATAAATTTCTAGACACCTATTATCTACCAAAACTGAACAAAGAAGACAAAGAAAACCTACTAAAGAGATGGATAACAAATAATACAATTGAAACAGTAATAAAAAACCTTTCCAATAAAGAAAATCCCAGGCCCAGAGGGATTCACAGCTGAATTAAATGGGCAAATGAACTAAAGAGAGGTTTCTCAAAACAAGTAGTACAAATGGCTAACAAATACATGAAAAAAATGTTCAACATCTCAAGCAATTAGGGAAATGCAAATCAAAAAACTACACAGAGATTTCATCTCACTCCAGTCAGAATGGCTGCAATCAGGAATACTAATAATATACAAATAATAATAAACACTAGTGAGGATGTGGGTAAAAAGAATGCTTATACACTGTTGGTGGGATTGTCAATTAGTATAACCACTGTGGAAATCAGTTGGAGGTTCCTCAAAAGAGTAGGAATGGAACCACTGCATGACACTGCTATCCCCCTCCTTGGTCTTTATCTAAAATAATTAAAGTCAGCAAACTATAGTGTTACATGCACACGCATGTTCATAGCAGTACAATTCACAGTAGCCAAGTTATGGAACTAGCCTAGGTGTCTGTCAATGGATGAATGATAAAGAAAATGTGGCATATATACACCATTTATCTAGCTATAAAGAGTAATGAAATTATGTTATTTGCAAGAAAATGAATGGATGCTTCAGAGCATTATCTTAAGTAACATAAGCCAGACTCAGAATATTAAGGGCCATGTATTTTCTCTTTTATGTGGAAGCTAGACAGGAAAGAGGGGGAAAAAGGGTCTCATGAAAATAGAAGGAAGACCAAGTAGACTAGAAGAAGGGACTCAGGGAGAAGGCTGGGGAACTGGCAAATGAAATTGACCAAATCATGTTTTATATATATATATATATATATATATATATATATATATAAATTGGGCCATAATGAATCCTACTAATGTGCATAATTATTATGCACCGATGAAAATATTTCAAAACTTTTCTCAGAATAATTCACTTGGTTCTGCTTTGGTTTCCCTGCGGACCCTACTGGCTGCATGCTCAGCCTCTCTTTAGTGCTCACTTGTGATGTGTACATGCTCAGTAAAGTGTCATTCTCCACTGTGCAGCATCTTCCCTTTGATTGGTGTCAGAAAAAAATAACCAAAAAAAAAAAAAAGGTAAACTGAGTTGGAAAAGTTAAAAGGAAAGGTAAGTGGGTTCAAACAAGGGAGCCTCAACAAGAGAAGAGGGTACCATGAGAGAAGGAAGGAAGCAGGCATACAATTACTTCAAAACTGAGCTACTCTTGGTAAAATTACCATTAAAGCAAGTGCTGTTTCTTTTATCTCTTTTCCCTTTAGTTGTAAAAGCTGGTTGTAAACTGTGTCCCTGTTTTGGAAATGGAAACCATTCAGAAGCAGAGAAACTAGTGGACTGCAGGTTCCACATCTCTGCATCCAACCAACAACTGATTGAAAGCATTTGAAAAGAAAACTCATGACTCTACTGCACATGTACAGAGTGTTTTTCCTTGTTATCATTATTCCTTAAAGAAAATAGTAAATAATTATTTACATTGTATTAGGTATAAGTAATCTAGAGATGATTTAAAGTATATGGGAGGATTGTAGCTAAGTTAAATGCAAATACGACACTGTTTAATATTGAGGGACTTGAGCACCCCTGGGTTTTATTACTCTTAGGTGGGGTGTTAGAATAAATCTCTTGGGGATACTGAGGGTTGACTACATATAAAGAAGAAAATAAAGGTGGCTACAGTCATTGCCTTGGTCACACATTGGCACATTTTGTTCATGACATTTCCTACACTTGCTGACTCACATTCACTCATGTCATTAAACACTCAGATCTTGATATATATGATTTTTCTTTGAAAATATAGAGTGAGTTTCTTACCTAATTGAAAAAAATCAAGTGTTCCGGTCACTTCCAAGACTAGTCTTATCCCTTAGAAAGCTGTTCCAGGCTCCACAGCAAATGTCCAGGCTCCCAGTGTTGTCAATCTCCTTGTTCCATATAACCAGGGAAATAATGAGCCTGTCCTTTTCTCTTTTAGACAAATCTCACAGGAAGACAAAAACTGGGAGACCAATATTCAGGAGCTTCAAAAAAAGGTATCTCCTTTGCTTTCTTCAGATATTTCCAATTTGATTTACCTGTTGTAGAAGAAGGTGATTAATGTTTCTTTTAAAAATTGATTACTATTTTAAATTTTTAATTGATACATTCTAATTTTAGGAGGTTGTGAGGTCCAATGTGAAGTCTGGACACCTGTGCACATTGTGCAGTGACGGAGTCAGAGTCATTAACTTATTCATCACCTCAGGCATTTATCGTTTTTTGTGGTGAAACATTCCAAAATCTTCTTTTTACCTCACATGAAGTAATGACTGGAAGCCATTGTTCTTTTTATTCCTGCAGTTGTACATAAGATGTCATTTATTTCTACAATTAATGAGGAAAAACATTTTCCAGACATGACAGGAAATGGAAATGTCACAATTTTTATGTCTGGGAAGATGTACTTCAGGCATACCCTTGAGCAATATCCTGAGTCTGGCTCATAGAGCTGGGCCTGTGGCTCACAGTCCCTCTCCTGGCCCTGAAAAGCAGGCTTCCAGATTTCCAGAGAGGAGCTGGCAGCGAGACCATGTTGGGCAATATTGAACATTTTTAAGAACAAACACTGGATGTGTGTGTGTGTGTGTGTGTGTGTGTGTGTGTGTGTGTCCTGCTGTACGAGTTTGACTTTTGGGGGCAGAATTCATTCAAAAATATTTTTGGGGCTGGGGTTGTGGCTCATGGTAGAGTGCTTGCCTTGCACATGTCAGGTACTGGGTTCAATCCTCAGCATCACAAAATAAATAAATAAATAAATAAAATAATGATATTGTGCCCATCCACAACTAAAAATAAAAGAATCTAAAAACAATAATTTTTTTTTTGCTCACTTTCCTGCTATGGTGGACTTCCTCCCCACCTGTGGACAGGTAGGGCTTCCCGCCCAGCCAAGAGCATTCACAATCACTGTACCTCAGGGAAATTTCCAATCCAAGTAGGTTGTTTTCTAGGAAGAGGTTGGGTGCCCACTTTCTAATTGTGATAGGAATACTTGTGCTTAGGATATTTAGACATTGGGGTTCTGCTGGGTAGTGTATTCTTTAGGCAATTTGGTCTGTGAGCTCTCTTCACATTCTCTTTTCCTTGTAGATGGTTAGTGTTAGAAAAGAAGGGTGTAGCTATGACCCTTTGAGTACCCAGGGTTTTAAGACCTTGCTGCCTTGCTGGACTGCATTGCTTTTGTCCTGTGTACCTGGTGGACAAGAATTGAAGATTGATGGGAAAATAGGCCAGGGGCTTGGCAATATCCCTGAATTGCAAATGAGAATTCTTGCTGAAATAATTCTAGATAGCCAAAACGAGATTGACACCCAGTAGAACACTCAAAAGAAACCTCTACCTCCACCATCTGAATGACATGGGAACGTTCTTTGACGTGCTGCTCCTCCATCTCTCATCTTTGAATGGGCTGTGGTAGTACTAACTTTCTCTGGTTAGTGTGACTCAGGGAGGCTTTGTGGTCCTCTCTGAAGCTGGTGAGGACCAGTGTTGCTCTCCTCTGAGCAATTTCTTTTTTTTTTTTTTTGATATCCCCTACCTCCTAATTCTTGATCACAGAGTCATGTAGCAAAATTGGGCTTCTTAGAAGTGGGAGGGGAAGATGAGAGGAGTAGGACATGATGTGGGCCTTTGCAGTGGGCAGGGGAACAGGGCAGGTGCTCAGCAGGCAGTCTCACCCGCTGAGTGAGGGCAGCACCTCTGGCCTGTGTCCAGGGGACCAGGGGCTACAGCCAGAGCTGCTGTCCATGAAGGGTGTGCTTGTGTTTTTGATGACAGCAGCTTTACCTGTGACCAGAGAAATTCAGAATCCTCTATCTCTACTTCTACCTCTTTCTCTATATATCTTCATGTCTATATATATCTATATCCACATGTCTCTATATATCTGAATCTATATTTATATGTCTATCTTATCTATCTATATCTATCCATATTTATAGATCTCTGTGCATATCTATTTCTATATGTCTATATCTATCTGTATCTAAATCTAGATATAGACATCTAAAACTATGTATATCTATAAATATATTGATATCCATAATCAGAGATGCCTACAGTTGGCCCTCTTTTTCTGTGGGTTCTACATTTGTAGATTGAACCAAATCAAGATTGAAGGTATTTGAAAAGTATTATATCAGTATTAAACATGTACAGAATTTCCCCCCAATCATTAGTCCCTAAACAATACAGTATAACAACTATTTACATAACATTTATATTGTGTTAGGTTTTATCATTAATCTAGAGATTATTTAAAGTATGTGGAAGAGTGTGTGAAGGTTTTGTACACATAAAGGACTTGGGCATTGAAGATTTTGGTATCTCTGGGTCCTGAAACCAATCGCTCATGGATATCAAGGGATGCCTATAAATCTATCTAAATCCAGATGTATGTTAGACAGCTGTACAGATGTGCTGGGCCATTCTTAAGAAAGGACTCTGTGTGGTTGTCAGTTCACACCTGGTTTCACACAAGGGACTGGGTTAGCAGTACAGGCTGCCCACCTCACATGCTCCTCATTCCTGACCCCACAAAGCCATGGCCCATATAACTCAATACCTCTCAGGGACTCATAGGAAATAGCACCCCAACTGCCTTATGGCTCTGAGGTTAATGAAGTCACTACAGAGAACCGTGTGCTATAAACCCCTGCAAGACTGGGCAGATCCCTCAGGTGTCATCCCACTGATAAGGGGCATCACCTGTATTCCACAGACCTTGTAAGTGTTACATGAATGAACACAGCAAAGCCTTATGCAGGAGTTATAGTATTTCAAGAACATGTTAAGCTTATTGCCATGAGCTTTGATTAAAAAAAAAAAAAAAGAAAAGAAAGTCAAGCTAAAACACAGGGACCACACAGGCATCTGTGGAAATGTATTTGATAGGGAAAGGTCCCTGGAGATTAGCTGTCATTTCCCCAATGGCTTTCTGTTGTCTCACCCAACACCTGGGTGGATACTTCTAATGACTGAATACTCATGTTATATTAAAAAGCTTTGTAGTCCAGTGTTTGGTAAAAAGACTATACTGCAGATTGGTGGTGCTTATTTTTCCACAAAGATTTTGAATGCTGTAATCCAGAATCTTTTCAGTTCTTCTTGTAACACATTGCCTTGTTATCTTCTTTCAAGTTCAAGATGTTTTATTTTTCATCAGGAGACATTTGGAGTAATTCAAGTCACGTAGGATCATGGACACATTGCAGGAATCAGAAGATTGTACCAAGTAAATGTGTTGTGTTTTTCTCTCTCACAGCACAGGATATCAGACAGGATTCTGCTTGTCAAATGCTTGATGGTGCTGGGATTTGTTATCTTCATGTTCTTTCTCAATTCATTTGTCCCTGGTATTCATCTTGATCTTGGTGAGTCTAATTTTTTTTTTTTTTGCAAACTTTTGTTGATAGGCTTTGCAATGGATATCGTGGTCTGAATGGGGAGGTTTCAAAGCATGTTCCCAGGTACCTACAAGCAGTTGTGTTTAGTGAGGATGCCAGCCTTAACACTAGAAGGGATGTAGAATTGGTACTGTCGTTTCTATCACACTTGGTAACAACATGTTGAAACAGTTCCCAGAGGAGACAGGAAAGCCAGTCCTGCCTTCCCTGCAGCTTGTCATGACAATTAAATAGGAAACTGTTTGTGAAAGGCCTGGAGAATTGCAAGAGCCTTGCACAGATTCACTCTCCTTATCTGACTGAGAATCTGTTTTACCCACGCAGCAAAACACATTTTCCCACTTCTTCCCTTTGTTTCTCTTTCCTCATTTTGGCCAGACTTTAGCTCTTAGCCAACTCTTTCTCTAGCCCTATGTCAAGGTTGGGGACTTCCCCATGGGTGCCAGGATTCTTTCAGGTTGGGCTTACCTTGGTAACTCCCAGAACCCCTCCACTTTCCATAAACCTTTTTATTGAGATCACAGAGATCTCCTTTGGTGCAATTATTTTTTTTAAAAAAACCATCATTTTCATGGCAGTATAGATTTATGAAAATATAAATTTGAGATGGTGTCAGGGAGTGTTTTTAAATCAAAGCTTTACCCATGGTTTTCCTTCAGAAATGAGCTCTGCTAGTATATTTGAGTCATATTATTTTTACCTTAATTCTTTAAAAATAAGAACTTAATCTTCTACAACTTTTAAAGAATATAACTGTGGTAGGAGGCAAAGCTTGCTAACTTTGTAAAATAGATGGTTAATGCAATTTTAATGTTATGGTTTGGATGTGAGATGTCTCCCGCAAAACTCACATGTGAGACAAGAAGATTCAGAGGAAAAATGATTGGGTTGTGAGAATCAACCCAATCAGTGAGTTAATCCCCTGAAAGTGATTAACTGAGTGGTAACTGAAGAGGTGGGGTGTGGCTGGAGGAGGTGGGAATTGGGGCGTGGCTTTGGGTGTATCTATGTTTCTGGCAAGTGGAATCTCTCTGCTTCTTGATGATGTGAGCTGCTTCCCCCCGCCATACTCTCCCGCCATGATGTCCTGCCTCATCTTAAGCCTCAAGGAATGGAGCTGGCCTTCTATGGACTAAGACCTCTGAAACCGTGAGCCCTCAAATAAACTTTTCCTCCTCTACAATTGTTCTGGTTGGGTCTTTTAGTCACAACAGCAAAAAGGCTGACTAAAACATTTAGTTATTTCCGTCACATCATTGCTTCTTGGGCTCCTGGGTACACTAGAAATCTTTAGGTTGTAATTTGGTTTCCCCTGTTTTCTGTAAAAGAGCCACGTTCTTAGACTCTCAGACTTAGCACATGGTGCACATGCATTTGGCTCAGTGTCCAGCTTTACATCACGTGTCTATGAGCCCTTGGAATTGATTTCTCTAAATAAACTCAGACCCAACTTGTCAGGTGGCCTGGGCTTGGTTCCGAGCCCACAGGTGTTCTTTGTCCACACCTGACAGCTGATCCACACAAGGTCTCAATGAGGTAATGAAGAATGCCAAAGCTAGGGTGGGAACAGTGTCATGAATTTCAGTTGTTTTTTTGATGAATTTTATCTAGAAATTGTTTCAGTGTAATTACTTTAAATTATACCCAAGGCATAATATAATTTTGACTTTATAAACCTTTAATCGCCACAAGCATGTTAAGTGGTCACCACTGGTAATTAAACAAGTACAATGAAACTGGTGTTTCCAGAGCAGAGGGGTTCCATTAGTGAATTCTTTTGGGTGTTCACAGATTATTTTGTTTCTAATTTTACTTGAGATTCTTCTTGAAATGAGCACAGCAGGCATTTGAAAAATAAAAGTATATGAAAACTTACATGCAATTTTGTTAGCTTTTGACAATAGTCTTTGTACACAGGATAATACTTTTAAAGTTTAAAATTACATCTTTATATATAAAGATCTAACTTGAAAAAAAATATTGATTAATGTGAAACTTTTCTTTTTACCCTGGGAAGTTCACCCTTTTTACAAAGATATCTCTACTCTTTTTGTGTGGTTATGTCTGTGATTGAGAGAATTATTTCTTTTTGCTTTTAAATCTAGTTTTGTTTTCAGTTAGAGTTTGTGTATAGATAATTTTATCTGGGGATCCTGGGATACATAATCCATGTATTTACTTCTTTATTATGATAGGTTAGGTTGAGAAAGAGAGAAGTTTGATTGACATATGTTTTAACAGAGTATAATTTCCTTAGAGTGATAGCAACTCTCCTGATAAAGATAGGGGCAAAAGAGATGCCAGATATTCCCATGATTTCAGCCAGTAAAGAATGTGATCATTTATCTTTGGTGAAGTTCTGTTTTGAATGTGACCTGCTTTGTGAATTGAGCATCATGCAATGTAATGTGATGTTGTTACAGGAGGTGACATCCTGTTACACTAAGTGCCATACAACAAGGTGATGTTATGTGACTATCATTGTGCAACTCAGTACAGCACATATAATACAACACTATATAGCATAAAGCAATGTCATAGAGCATGATGTGTATCACATGATGTGTTATGTGATCTAAGACAAGGTGATGCTGTACCACACAATGTGTATCATGTAACACAATACAGGATCCTCTAGTACAGTGCTTGCCACATTGCACCATGCAATATTGTGAAATGCCATGCATATAATCCAAAGTGACATCATATAAATAGGTGCACTATGTAGCAAAATGTGACATCATAGAACACATGCATTCCTTCATTTAGGAATCATAATGTAAGCACAACTTTGACTCTTAATTTTTAATTCTTAAAAAATTGTTGTAAAGCAAAATCAACTTTTCCTCTGGTGTAAAGTTCTACGAATTTTGACACTTATGTAGATTTATATAACAACAAATGCCATCAGGACACAGTGACCAGAAAACCTTCCCCAGGCTTTCCTTTTGTAGTCACTCCCTGTGCCTCATCCCATCTGCAAAGGATCTGCTCTCTATCACTGTAGTTTGTCCTGTTGAGAACATACACATGGAATCAGATTGTATACAAACTTTGAGACTGGCTTCTCCCACCTGGCTTAATGCCTGTCAGATTTAGCCAAGCTCTGTACATGAACGGTTTGCTCCTTATGTAGCTGAGTGATGGTTCATGGTAAGCAAGTACCAGGGTTTATGTATATATTCACCCACTGAGGGACATTTGGGTTGTTTTCAGTTTTTAGCAATTGTGAATAGAGCTGATGCAGACATATGAACTCATAGTTTTGTGTGAACTTGCTTTTACATTCTCTTGGGTAACTACCTGGGAGTGAGACTGTTGGGTCATTTGGTGGGTGTATGTTTAACTTTGTTGGGAATTGTTTCCAGAGTGGCACCTGGCTTTGATTTCCCACAGGAATGAATGGGAGTTCCAGTGGCTCCATATCCCCACTTGGTACAATTGAACTCCCTCCCCTGGAGTTCCACAGCACACATACCTACCTTATACATGGAGCCTATCTGTTATCCTAGTGATGAATTTACTTCTCTGTCCCCTGAGCTCCTGCTCTCCAATGAAACTTGAGGATGTGGTCCATATTTTCTATATTTTCCTCTTCTCAGTGCCTTGGGTTAATGTCTAACACACCAGTAGATACAAGGAAACATTTATAGATGCATGAACAGAAATCTCTCATCGAGTCTAATAGATTCAGCTTCATTATTGTGAGAATTAACTATGTGGATGACTCAGCCTAGGTATTTCAGACAGTAGAGGACAAGACAGAGGCTGATGTGCAAGATTTCTCTCTGGGAAGTCTGATCCCAGGGAAGAGAAATGAGGAGTAGGGAGACAGATTAGCAAAGGGAGTAAGCCATCAGGAGCCACTGGTTTCTCCATCTCACCAGGTTGAGAAGAAGTATAAAAATGCACCCCAGGGCTATATAGGGTTGAAGGAGAAAGGACTATTACTCATTGATCCCCATTGCCCGGTGGTCAAAGTTCCTCCCCATAAGGTGCCAACTTGCAGATACACTCAACTGGCATGTTCTGAGGGCCCGGCAGCAGCTCCAGCAGAGAAGCATCAGGTAGGAGGGAGGTGTTGGTACTTGGACTCCAGAGAAGACCCTGTTAGTGTGCACAGTGTGAGGATGGTGGGGTCCACACAGAGCCAGTCACTGACACAGACTTTGTGTGAGGAACAGGAGAGCCCTTAGGGACCCAAAGGCAGGCCAGAGGTTCACAACAGTGAAGAAAGGAGATGTGAATCTGGACCATGGCTACAATTCACATCTACACGGCAAAGTAATCCCACGTGCAGGAATCATCACCTCACAAAACAGGTTCTTCCACAAAGGTCCACTGTCCCTATATGAAACCCTTGGTGCCAGAAATGTTTTGAAATTCAAATATTTTGTTTATGTTTTAGAAATACAATTCAGTGCACATACTTGAATTGTATGTAGGGTGAGCATCATTGTTCAGAAAATCTGAAATGCTTCAAAGTCAGAAAAATTTTCAGTATTGACACGATGCCACAAGTGGAAAATTCTACTCCTGACCTCACGGGAAGGGTGGCAGTCAAAGTGCAGGTGCACTCAAATTAGTGTTTAAAATGATCTTCAGGTTCTATGCATAAGAAGGATATAAACCAAATTTCATTAGACCAGGTTCCATCCATAAGATACCTAATTATATACAATGTAAATATTCCCAAATTGAAAAAAATTCCAAATCTGAAACAATTTGGTCCCAGCATTTTGGATAAGGGAGTCTCAACTTCATGTAATACCTCCTGAGACATTTAGGGCTGGCACCTGTCATCTAAGCATTAACGTTTCTGTAAAAAAAAAAAACTTGAATATTTACACAAAGTGTAATAAAGACCATAAATAGCTTTGTTTTGGTTCAAGTCAGGTTGTGTTGAATTTTGGTCTAAAAGTTTGAAAAATTTCTGCTTTTCTGAACTTTAGGACTTCAGAATTATG